ATGGATCGGCCGATAAGGATGAGAGTTTCTCTTAGCTGCCCCTATTTACATAGGATCGCTTGGATTTCCTTAGTGAGGGGTTGATAATGAACCTGCTAAGCAGTGAGCACTGAGGCTACCAGGGCGCATGCGGCATCGTCTTCAGGGATCAAGACATGGTGCAAGACATGGTGGTATGTGATCCACACGAATCCTCCCGTACGTGCTCTTGATTGTCCATCTGCTCGGTGTGTCCGTGTACAGGGCACAGATCAAGCCACATGGCTAGTACCAAGCTAACAAACTAACAACTGGACCTTAGGGTCTTCTCTTTCGTACACCGCATTCTACTTCGCATTCAAAAGGAGTAATCCGGTTTCTCATTGCACATTTCATTCGATCTATGACCGGCAGTCCGTCCCCCCTAGAATAGTTCATGATGTGCTTCTTGATGGCGGCGGGTCCTGCCGCTAATTAATCTGCCTCGAGCGCCTCAACTTTTGTACGGATAAGGCAGGGAGGAGTAATTGAAACAATGCGGGCGTTCCTTCGGTCTCCGCCTTGGATCTTTTGGGTAGCTTCTCGCTACTTGCTCGACGTCATGTACCCATTGCTGTATGGGTGTGGGCCGAGGCTGGATTGCCGGCGATGAAAGCAGACAAGGTCGCAACTCGCAAGGGGTCGGTCAAGCATGCATCCCTTCGGCACGAGAGCCAGGCTCACATCTCGGGCCTTTTGGAAAGAAATTAGAAATGGGTCGATCCGGTTGCTCGCGGACCCTACCCGGAAATCGTCGACACAATATACCACGCGAGGCACGTGGGTTTCTATCTCATAGACACATATATGAGACTGGCTTATTGTAAGTTTAGAACTGTCCGAGAAGACCTGTATTCACTGTTATGGAAATGGTAATAGAATGGGCATAGGTCTCGAAAAGTTGAGTTTGAGGAATTCACTGTCAGCCCTTCCCCGGAGATTGGATGCCATGCAGGGATTCTCAGTCGGGCTCTAGTCGGCATCCTTCTCGATGAATTCTTTCTCAGATGTTCAATGAATCAGGCAGGTAATGAATTCACAGCGGATGTACGCATCGGGGAACCCGTAGTTCTTGTAACGTTGCGCTAGTACGGATACCACGGACCATGGATCGCAAAAGGTCATGGGCATGTCGTGATGGAAGGTGTCTAGCCCTACCCAAGGTAGGTAAGGCAGTGAAGTGACCATGGGGCTGAAACTAAAAGGGGACATTGTGGCGGCAGTTGACGGTGTAACTACGGAGAGAGATCGTATAAGCAAAAGTTAGAATGTTTGTTGCCTAGGAAGAACCATACCACGATAACTAAGGTCCCCAGTGTTTCAATCAGGGGCTTGGGGTAGTGGGCAGTTGACGAGAGATCTGGGGCGGGCTTAGGTTACTCTGGGTTCGCTTTGACGTGCTGGAGATCATCGGGCCGAGCTGGAAAGTGGAACAACTCTTTGGCCAATCTCTTAGTCGGCATCGTAGACATTAGATGTAGCCAAGCCAATGTCAAATGCTTGGTGCCTGGAGAACGTGCTCAAGGCATTACCAGTTGACGTTTGACGTTTAACGTTTTGGCAACCCAGACTTATCAGAACGGGAAGGCGACAAGTTTGAACACGACCTCATTGTGGCTTTGTGAAGAGGGTAAAATTGTAACTTCACAGTTAGATCCATCCTTCACTAGGGAGTTGGTCAGGCAACCAAATTTCCAGGTTCTTTTGAGACTCAGTTTGAGTGTGGATGAAGCAAGGGAACCGGTCTGGAAGTGTCAAAAATGGGCGATCTGGTCTAGGCCAAGGGAAGGGGCCCAAGGTTCAAGGCCTAAAGGTGCCGCCGGGTCGGGTGAAAAAGTGGTCTTGACTCCTTCCCAAATAGAACCACCAGTGCCACCCCTGTTCGTACTAAAGGTACTTAGTCCAAGTACTTGGTCTAAGTAGTTTGTACCGAGTCTTAGTGCAGAACTCCAACTGGCAACTGCCAACCTAACCCCACACTCGGGTTGCTCCTTCCCCATGTTCATCACAGGCGCTCCTCGCACTTTCCCCGCGCCATTCCCTTTGACAACCTCCTCCTCGGCCCCTTCTCTTCCTCCTCCCGTCCTCCTCATCCTCAAACTCCTCCTCACGGGCAGTTCAACGTCACCCTTCCCGTCCTCTTCTTCAACCCACATATTTCTATTCCAGGCCCGCTCCTCCAAATCCCCGGCTCTCCGCATATCCCTTCCCCCCAATGTCTCCCGCTCAATTGGGTCTTCCGCCGTGCCGAGGGCCGTGTAAATGCCGACTACAACCACCACCAGCACAACAGCCACGGGTCGGGCGACCATGTTCCACTCCTTTGACAGCCGCCGCAGCCCCGAGGGTTCGGCCGTGAGCTCATCGACAACTTCACGCAAGGTCAACCGTTCATGTCAGGAATGCACCAGACGCAAGGTCAAGTGCGATGGTGGACATCCTTGTGCGAGTTGTCAGTACTACAAGGTTGCAGATTCATGCGAGTACAGGCAGCGTAGCAGACGACATGCTGTGAGCAGGAGGTATGCAGTAACCCTTGCCCATCATTAGATCCCCCGATGCTTTCGTTCCTGCAGGATCATCAAGGCTGACGATTACCCTAGTACTCTCGAAAAGACCTCAGAGCAGCTCCGCGCCCAGTCTAGCGTGCTGCAGAAACTTTTCCCTGATGTTGATGTGAACGATTTAGTAGGCAAGAGTCGAGCAGAGTTGCTCGCTTTGTTGCCGCGGGAATCTCTCTTTGTTTTGCGCTCCTCGGTTCCGCAAGCCGACCCTTCAACAGCTGGTGTCTCGGCAGCCGATGAGGATGACGATGATGACGGCCACGATGATTCGGCGCAGAATTCTGAAAATGGAGATGCTGCAAACGAAAGACGATGGGATGAGCCAGCCCAGCAGCCGGCGACCCTTGGCTCCAGCGACGACATTAACGCCATCAGTCTAGCAACAGACCAGCATCGCCGCTCCTATCTCGGTGTCACATCCATGAGTGCCGTTCTCAGGGTGATATTTCGTCTCTGTCCTGCGGCCAAAGAGCACACGGCTCAGAGGGCAAAGGCGTGGAACGATGTCCATTATCAGTCTCAGCTGCTTCCATCACTGTCTCTTGTCAGCCCCGGCGCGGGCATGAACCCTCTGCGGGAACAGCGCTGTATCGACTTTTACTTTGATCACATCCACCCAGTAACACCGATTCTCAATGAAGATGACTTTAGACGCAATCTTGCGTCAGGAACCCGTCTTGATGGCTCTTGGCTGGCCCTACTCAACATGGTCTACACTCTGGGCTCCATCGCCTCCGGCAGTGACTCCCTCCACGTTCAGTACTATAAGCAGGCACGCGCTTACCTCGATCTCGATTCCTTGGGCTCTGGCAACATGGAGAGTCTACAAGCTCTCTGTCTTCTCGGAGGCTACTACTTGCACTACCGAAACTCGCCCAACATGGCGTATGCTGTTCTCGGCGCAGCTCACCGCGTCGCAATAGCCCTAGGATTGCATCGAGAACCCGCACGCAGTCGTGCCGAGAACGTCACGGAGCACAGCAATTACATCTCACGCGCCGAGACGCGTAGAAGAACCTGGTGGAGTCTTTTCTGCCTCGATACGTGGGCGAGCATGACCCTTGGGCGCCCTACGTGTGGCCGATGGGATAGCAGTACCATGGACACGCTTTTACCCACGCCATTGTTTCCCGACGACCACGTAGCAGCATCATTACGAGCAAGCTGTCTGTTCTGCCACATCTGTGACAGGATTCAGCATCGTTTTGCGCAACCCGCGCGCTTATCGGCCCGCGAGGCCATGGCTTTCGACCGCGAGCTGGTAGAGTGGCACGACTCTCTTCCCGACTTCCTCAAGAACCCAGCAAATTCTCCACCTCGTTTGACGGAAGCCCGCGAGTTCATGCGGAATCGCTACCTCAACGTCCGCCTCATCCTTACGCGAAGCTTCTTACTCTACCTTGCCCACGATCATTCCCTCAGACGCAGCGCCAACGCCGTCTCGACTGTCCCTGGGCCTACCCACGACGAGCTAGCCCTCGTTGAAACCTGCCGCTCCGTCGCCATGGAGGCCATCGATGCCATTACACTTTACTGGACACCCAACCGCATCCACGTCTGGAACTCGGCATGGTACCTTTTCCAAGCATGCATGGTTCCAATCCTCTCCATCGCCATTGACGCACATGTGCGCAACTCGGCCCGTAAGCAGCAGCAGCAGGAACAATCACAATACCCACCGCCGCCATCCACAGTCCCCTCGCAAGCATCACATCTGGGAATACTACAGATGCCAACAGCAGCGACGATCAACTCCCCCGAGCACAACATCTTCCTACCCTCTTGGTGCGCAAGCCTCACAAAAGCCCTCGAGCTCTTCCACGATATGCGTTCCTGGATGCGCGACTCGGATCGCACCCCCGATATCGTCGGCGCCCTATACGAGGCCGTTACCACCGACCTCGAAGGTTCTGGTGCCGGCTCCGCCATTCGTACGCCCTCGACGGAAAACAGTATAGACATGTCCATGTGGTGCGATGAGCAGCTGGTGGAGATGGACTGGAGTGCATTCCTGGGCGGCGGTGGTAGTGATGGCAGCGGCGGCGTTGACGGGATGCATAACAACAACATGTTTGTTTTCACGTGAATTGCTGTAGAAGCGGTTGGGAGTGACGCATTGGCGTACAAGTCCTTTGGAGAGAATTTTGGGCCCCGGAATACCGTCCAAGATTTGCCAGGTTTAGGAAAAAGGCGGAGGGTTGGTATATCATCTCAGATCTAGGCTTTGAAGTACTTGCTCGCATATATAGACGTTGTATTCAAGCGGTAAGAAGATATTTCTTAGTATGGACAAAGCATGAAAGAGATTTCATGTACAGAGATATTTGTAAAGCGTAAAATAAAACAAATCAAATAATAGACAAAGAATCGAACAAAGTGTCGCACGAATTAGACATGGTATCATATTATTCTATCAAACGGCCAACAAAGCAGACGTGATTCGTGACATCACCCAAAATATGCGCCCGGCGAGCTCCATGTCCCGACCCTTACTCTTCGTTCCCGTCTCCTTCCGAGATCCCTGATAAGATATCCCTGGGTATAGCCCCCTAAAACTCCTCGATAACACGGACAAATCGCTCTTGCGCCTTACTACTTTCTCACTCGCTGGAAACGACACAGTCAACGCGCTCACTCACTACCGCCCTGCTTCTCCTCGAACTGGGAAACCCTCCTATGTTGCACTCTGCTGAATCTAGCCAACGCCCGCTGCCGCGCCTTGTCTTCCTTTCGAAGCCGGACGGCGGCCCGGACGTCGACCTTCTCGTCCTTCTCCTCCTCAATACTCTGGTACATGGTTCCCAGTGCCGAGATCCTCCGCGTGCCCCGGCGCCCGAGAGCCAGGTCCGATCGCATGGGGATATCGAACAGGTCATCGCCCTCGTCCTCGGCGTCACCATCGCCCTCTTCAAAAGTAGAAATTGGCGCTTCAATCCTGGGGTCTAAAGAGAACTTTCGATGTAAACGACCACCGGGGTTACCGAGGGAATATGTATGGCCAAACCGCTCCGGCGACGTGGTCTCTGGGTCCGGGATATTGGATAGGCTGTCAAAGAGACCCGGCAACTGAAGACCGCCTTCGCCATACCCTTCGTCGCTGAAGAGGAGCCCTTCTTCGTGGTCGCCGCTATGTGCTGAACCACGTTTCCGCGTGGTGATGAACGAGTCGGCGTCGATGTCGTCGTCTGACGACAAATAGTCGTCAATGTTGAACGCATCTCCGGGCTTTGCCGGCGTAATTGGAGAGGGCAAGGCACTCTCCAGTGCTGTGCAGAACGATGCATGGTCGCCTGTACCGCTGTGTAAGGAGCTGCAGCTGTCATTGAGGAAGGACGACATGGTAGCCAGATCTACCGTCGTCGTTGTCGTGTGTCGGGAATGAGGTCGTTGAAAGGAGCTGGTGCTCGACATCGTGGGGGTCGCCGACGAAATCGACCAGTGCCGAAGGCTACTCGTACGCATTGGCACATGTTCGTAGATCTCGTCCAGCTTGCTCTTTCCGAATGGTGCTCCGTTACTCTTGGATCGTGAGCAAGAATCATCCTGGGCTTCACGCCACGAGTGGCCACTTCTCATCACATCTGTCCAGCAAGTCATGTTAGCAGAAGATCTTCCGGGAAAAAATCATAGAAGACAGTAGAGAATCGACGGTAAAAACTAACGAGGTGAAGGCGCCGGTGAGGACACATCCGCATAATCAACAAAGCTCTCAACCTCAACTCGGCCGACCCATCCTCTTGTGCCGGGCTCCCCATCGAGCTTCGCATTCCGCGGCCACTCGGTAGGACGGGTAGATGCTGCCGCACCGCCTATCGCGGAGAGGGTGTGCCGTTTGGATGGTGACTTCTGGGTTGGGGAGGAGAATGTGGGACTGGCTACTGACCCTCCGCGGGATGGCGGCCTCACCGCCTGGTATGATTCAGTGTGGACAAGACCTGACGAGGTCTTTGGTCGTTGCTGGACCGGTAACGAGTAGTTGTGCTTGACCAAGTACGTTGGCTTTTGGGTCGTCTTTGGTGACATCGATGGATCAAGATGCCCTCTCCCAGATGTAAAGATGCCCAATTCGTTCAGGGGAGCTTCGCCTCCGAGAGTAGATCGCCTCTTGTGCTGTCGACCATTTGGGGATCCAGAAGCATCCGCTGTCGATTTTCTTAGACTCAGCGTTCTACCGTTTGTTGCATTCGATGGCGTCGTCGGTATGTAAGCACCTAGCGATTGCCTTCGACGGCCACGAATCGTCTCCGAAACAGACTCCATGATTGGCTCGTGGCTGAGGGAGCGTTCAGGATTGAACATATTAGTTCGGAATGGGACCTGGCCGAGGCTCGCCGATGTCAGAGACTTCGTGCGGGCCTCGATGTCCAGTGAATCGTGGCGTCGGGGGGGCTTAAACGTTTGTTCTTTGTCTCCAAATTGGGCTCTTGATGGAGCCGCAAACGCGCCGTTGTGTCGATCTCGCGGACTACCACCGTTTGTTGCGTAAAATGCTTGGACTTTGTCGGATTCAAGGTCTACTCCATTCTCGCCAATGTTGCGGTCAGCAACATCTTCTCCGTAATCCCGAGCGCCCGAAGCCTTCACTCGACTCTGAAACCCCGAAGGCTTGATCTCGGATTGTGCATCCAGCAGATCAATGAAGCCTCTGACTGCAGCTGTGCTTGTACTTTGCATGGAAAGGTGGCGGTTATGGGTGAAGGGAGCAGTTGGTGGGCGAAACGGATCTCCCTCGAACGGTATTGCTGTAGAGTTGCCGCTTCGTTGTGGAGCGGGAGATAGTCCCGATAGACCAGACGTCGTCGATGAAAGTGACCCGATTCGTGGTTTCCTAAACGACAAAGGCGGACCCCTCGATGAGTCTCTCCCCCAACGGCCGGACGGAGACGGTGAAAAGCTGGGAGGTACAGCGCTGCCCGGCGCAGAATTCGGGCGCTCGATGCTGGAATCACGGAATCGCAAGACGGGCGGTGCCGGGGCAGAAGCTTCGGAACCCGCTGCAAGAGACAAATTGGTTTCGCTCATCTTATGGTGAGACCGTTGAAGGTCCTCGAAGACATTGGTTGGCCCATTGCCGGCAACCGGGTAGGTACCTAGGGATTTGTGTAAGTTTAGACTACGAAGCTGGGCTGAGTATTGGATCAATCCTACCTAGAAGCGGGGGAAGAGATGCTGTCGTAGCATCATATGCTTGCGCCTTGATGCCGTTTGATGACTTGTCAGATGACCTTTTGGACGAGAAGAATTTCAAGAAGCCCATTGTCGCAGCCTTTTGCCCTCCATATGGCGACTACACGAGACAATTAGGTGGGCTGTGAACTGACAGCAGACTCAAGGTTGCTTCCCCTCGAAAGCGATGTTGAAGGCGAAATTCAAAGAGTGGAAGATAGTTGAGCACCGAGAGACCGAGGCCTCACCGCATATACGATTGCGATGTGAAAAGACAATGGAACAGACGACGACGATAAGAAGGAAGAGGGTACCGGTAGAAGGGGGAGAGAGGAGTCTAAAAGCCGAGCGGGTGGGCTGGATAGCGTCAGATCCTAGAACCTAGGCGGACTAAAGAAAAAGGAAAGGAGGGACAATGCGACACGACGAGTCGTGTAAGGGTGCTAAGGCTGAAGTGCGTGCATATACATGACGGAGCGGAGCGAATGAGCAGAAAATAGTCTACGCTAGACCGTGTTTTGGGCCCAGGTCGAAGGCTTCGTGCAGTCAAACGATGCGATACCCATGTCCCCGAGCGTGGCTGCTCCGAGTTGCATGGTGTGATGGAGCACACACCCGTGGAAGAGCCATGGTTTCCGTCAAAGGCCAAGTATCGAGACATTGAGATTTTTTCCTTCTGAAGAGCAGGAATGTTCAAGGGCCAGATCGCTGCCCACCCATCATTCGTCACATGAACGGGTGGCTACCTTCTGCACATCGTAGAAGACGAAGTCTGTCCTCAATACACAACGTGTGGCGAGAAAGACTATACTTTGGAAAGCGTCGCGAGATAACCAGAGTTCCAGGTTGCCTACTCTTGGGCGGAGCAGGGCAAGCTTCAATCAGATGCTGATTTCCACATGTCCGAATCATCTGTTTGTCTTGGGATGCAAACAGGCTTCTGAGCGCCTTGAGGAATGGCGCAGGAGTGGCAAAGAAGCTTAGAACAGGCTTGTTGGTGTGGTGTGGTGGTGACAAGACTCGTTGCTCGGACGAAATGGCGCATCAAGGTTTCGAAAACAGGTAAGCAGACGGATAGATGGTCGGATGGGAGGGAATGGGATGGACCGCGGCCCGTGCGAAAGTGACAACAAAGGTGTGAAGAGCACGAAACGGCTTACAAGCCTGTTTCATGGTCTAGTTCTCTGTAGTATGTCAGGACCTCCGGCCGTTGGTGTTGCTGTCCGACTCGAGTGCAAGTGGATGAGGCCTCTCGTTCCCACGCTTCTCGGTGAACTTTGGCTGGCGCACCACGATCGCCAAACCGAAAGCCCAAGGCAATCCATCTATCAAAACAGCCTGATTGGTCTCGGCTGCCAGTGCCAAGGTAATCGAAGTTGAGTTGTGCCTGGGTTTCGAGGTTGAATGCTATCCTAGAGCATTGGGGGAGATTCCAGATCTTGATAGCTGTTGCAAGCGCAAACAAGCATGGATCTGTTCCAAAGGACGACGATGCGCCTCCACGATGCTGGGTACTCTGCCGATCCGAGAAAGAAGAAAACATGGCACTGGGTTCAGGGGTCAGACGTCGTAATTGGTGCCACCTCGGAGAAAAAGCAATCGACGAGGGTTGGAAAGAAGCCCATTTGCCAGCTGCTTTTATTGGCAGCACCAGCTGACTGGTCTCAGGACTAGCCATCTTAGTGTGTCCCAGGAACAAAGTCAAAGAATTCCTGTTGGACAACGCCAGTCGGTAGCGTATGGCTTTGCTCCGTTGGTCTTGGAAAAACTGGACTTTGTCAAGGTGGGCTCGACGTTTGGAATACCTACCGAACCAAGTGGTCGCGGTTAACGGCGCAGACGGATGGGTGTTTGTTCTTGGTATTCGTGAGGCATTAGTCGTCGACCGGCAGTGGCATCAAAGCAGGCGTCGTCCCGCCAAACGGCGCGTATCGAACCATGTTGACGACACGTTTCTCCGCTCATCTGTTTTGAAGCGTAGTCCGCCTGCATCTTGCATTGTGTCCATCTTGCTTGCATACTTTCAATGAGCGTGCCTGTGCCTGGCCCTGGATTGATCATGGTTGAGGGTACCCGGCCCCTGATGTAGATGTGCGTGTGCGAGACATCTTTTCTGCGCCCCCTGCTGATTGGAAGCGGGCGGAAGCAGATCACTCAGGGATTCGCCCCTGGTGTTGTTTCTCGGATGTGTTGGCCGCGATTCGATGGAACTGAAATGACGCATCGAAAGTCAATTATCAATCTTGGAGGCTGGCGTGTGTGCCGCGTCAAATTGCTCCAAGATGGCAAGCCCAACAAGTCGATAAGCATAAGGCAAGGCAAGGGAGTACGGCCGAGTCAACGAGATGTCATGCGTATGGTTGCTCAGGTCGCCACAATGCTGGAAAAGCATCGAGTCTCCGGCGCTAGCTGCGGTGGTGCTCAATGATTGCAGGGTCTGCCACCTCAGTACGGTGTGCGGTGTGCGGTGTGAGCTTTGCTAGTTCCAGCTGAATGGACTGCGAACGAAGTTGCCCAGAACGACTCTATTCTGGGTGGTGGCGGAAAAATGGTATAATTTCGAGGCATTGCTTCGTGTGACGGATGTCGGGGACGTAAACTATTTCTTCGATGTTGGTGATTAATTGATCAATTGATGTTGATGGAAATCCCGCCGTGTTACAGGAAAGAGTTGGCGAACCTCAAGGTACTCGTGAGTCGTAAACCGTCACTCTTGAGGCCGAGTCTGAGTCTGAGTCCGGGAAGTCAGGTACCGCGTCACACCTGCCATATAGTCAGCTTAGTCACATGTACTGGATTAGGTACTTTGTAGATGTTCTGGACGCCTCGCAGCTGCCGATATTTCTTTTCCGTCGCTAATCTTTGCTTCTCCCTTCTGCAAAGGACCATTTCCACGAATCAACCGGAAACGAGATTGTGTGAGCATCATCACGTTAAAGCATCGACACGTCAACTTTTCAGCTGCATCAGAGAATGTGACAGAAAACAGCCACTCTCAATGTTGCGGCCGGGTGCATCATGGCGACGGACACCGCAGTAGGAAACGGCGATTACCGGCAGCAATGCCGCAATCTGCTGCTTGGCTTCACAAACGGACAGAACCCAATCCATACTTCTTTTCTGGTTTCTCTCTCTCTCTAGGTGGGTGCGTGAGCGTCCCAATTGCGCTTTTCTTACAATGACAGGGCGAGCTGGGCACCATAACGCGTTAATTTACCAAAGTTGCTCACCAGCGTACGGCAAGCGCCTCTATTCAGGGGGAGGCATCTAGCTCGTATCCGCAGAGTGGTGGATTGTTTGCTATATACGGGCAAGCTCTCAGCGTTTCATACCGCACGATCCGGCTAGCCTTCTAGCGGCGATCGGCCACCACGTGGAACACAGTGGTTTCTATGGATCGTTTTATCCTAACTCTCCCAATTTGCTCCCGGTATTACCATCATACGCCTTTCAACTCCGACTTGCGCTTTCAAGTGAGCGATAGCTTCAAAAACGCATCCAAAAATCCGAGGGGTTGCCGTCATGCAGCAGAGTGGTTCCAGAAGCGTTATACTGGAACCCGTTCAGCTTGCTTTTCCATACCAACCTCAATCATGGTCTGATTTCCAGACTTACGGCCGCACCCAAACACAGGCGGGGTAGCCCGTTCAGGGGAAAGGATCTTCCACCACCCCTCGCGTTCACAAATGAAGGGTCCAGGAAGAGGCAAGGCCAAAGACACTACTAGAACGCCGTCACGCCGTCTGGTATGCCCATTCCTTTTGTGGGCGGGATACCCGCAGTCCGGCGCAACTCTCCCAGATTCAAGCACGTCGGCCCCCGGCGCCGCTCGGACGGTGCACCGTGCTGCTTATTCGACGTCCGAACGTTGAACACTGCAGCGCCCGAGGTCCGAGCGGGCATGTCAAACTGTGGATGGTGCTGGTGCTGAGGTGGTGGTGGTGTTCCCGCGGTCCGTCCGACCTTTTGGGGCTTGGGGAGCCTCGCAATCACAGAAGCCTTGCGCGGAGAATCGAGGGAAACAAGCTTCCGGATGAAACACACGTTGTTCGATCACTGCTGTTGCAGATACTATAGTACGAGCTTGCAACCCCAAGAAACTGGATGAACTCTTCGAATCCCCGATATATGGCACAACGAATACGGTGGGAGCCGGAGTTGCTAATGATAATACAACTGCTGTAGACAAGTGTCGTGGCGCCGCCTCATCTCTCGCTGCCGGTGTCATCACACGCACTATACCCAATTCTTCAAAGACTACCTCCAAGTCCCTCAGGGGAAGGCAGTCTTGAAGTTATCATTGGGTACAGGTCTACACACCATTAACTACCACTAGTCACTGGTTTGAGGCTTTCCCCGGAGTCTTATCAAGATGGCTTCCACGAGTAAACCAAGTCGTAGTGTCAAGACTCAAAGGGGGTCTTCTATCCGTGATTAGCTCGAACACGAGGGGTCTTATGACAGCTCGTAGGTTCCGGTTGCCGATCGCAAAGAGCGTACTTCGATTGACTAAGTAAGTACTCAAGATTGACATTTCAGGTAGGCCTAAGCAAGGTAAGCAGATCATGTAACGGTTACGGTGATTGGGCTGGACTTGATAACAATCTCAACGTAAGTGCCGCAACAAAATTAAAGAGGGCAGAAATCTCCGTTGCATACGGTACGTGATGGAATTGGCATAGGCAAGAGACGTGTAACTCTACCTTTCCAAATCGCAGTTGCTTGTCAGTGAGGTCGTGTAGGCACCTGATGGGGGAAAATGAAGGGAGGCGCCTTCTCCTTAGCTTCTGAGGTATCTTTCATTGAAGGAGTGAGGCAACCCGGACCTTCCATGATGTAAATGAAGTCCAATGAGAAGGCACACACGTTTTGGGAGACCTCTTTGTGACTGGTCCCAACACGAATCATCCTCGTCTATTACCAACTCCATCTTCATCGTACAATCCCAACCTGTTAGCTCACGATAATTGCGATTCAAATCATCACACGCCTCACCTCCTCAGCATATTCACCTTCGATTCCCTGATCACATAATACCCCTCCAGAAGCTGTCCAAGCCGCTAGCTTGCCTGCCAGCATCCTCACCTTGTCCCAACTATCCTCCATAAACGATGTCAGACAACAACCAGCCCCAACAGCAAGCCGACGCCAACCAGGGTTAGGTCCCCTTCTTCACCGAGCACGACGGCTCCCCGATCATCGAGGATACCAGAAAGAGCCCCCCGCTCAGCACCAAGTCTTCTCCTTCTTCCTCTTCCGACAAGCCCTTCGCCACGCCCAACGGAGATAATGCACTGCCCAGATACCTCAGCTTGACTCATGATCTCCGTCATGCCGTGCAGGCGCAGGCACCAGAGACACCCAATGACCACAACTACGGAGAGCAGACGCCGGGAAACTGGCCCCTTATCGCTTCGGAGAGCACTCCGCCGTCCGCCGAAGTCGAATACTCTTCTACGTCAAAGACAGTAAGGCAGGCAATGCCCACTACAACCAACAACCTCGCCGATTCCCACAGAAAGTCCAAGACAGAGTTCAACTCGATTCCTTCCGAGCTTCTTCATATGAGCTCGGGGCTTACCAGTGGACCTGATACCAGGACCCAAGCCCATCGAAAGTCGTCGACCGAGTTTAAGGAGGTTGTAATAGTGGAAGGCAAGTGAACTTTTCGCTATATATTATTCTACCCAAGGCTAACGCTGTCATCAAAAACACCTAGGTACGGAAGATCAGTCAGACATGCGAGAGGATGTCGGCCCGCTCGACTTCGATCTTCAGGAGCCAGCCAACACTCCTTCTGAGGGACGCAGAGACGAAGAGAGAAGGACGACCGGCCAGTTGTGGAGGAAGCCTGAGTCGCAGGATTCAGCGCAGCTTTGGAAGTCAAACAGTCGGTAGAGGTAGGTGTCGGTATACTGACTGTGATGGAGCAGTCCACGGTGGTGGGTACGGTCGTGGAATTACACCTATGTAACGAGTAGTCATTCCTCTAGTCATTCTCTGAACACAGCAAAAGCCGAACTCTTCGTCCTCAAATCTTCATTTCATTCTTCTAGAGCTAACAGAGAATAATTTAACCACGCCTAACCTAAACGCCAAATGACATACCATACCTGTTCCATCACCCAACCTCGACCTCTCAATCAAGAGACCCAGCCAACGCAACAGCACTAAACCGCAAATCCGCGCCCTCCCTCTCGAGGAACTTGCGCGGGCCCCACGTCAGCGCCTTCTCGCTCAACACATCCTCCCCGGACTCGAGCTGGCCGCGGTTCAGCGGGCCCTTGCGCCGCCCGTCGAGCTCCCACAGCGTGCCGTCGTCGCCGCGCACGAAGCAGACGTAGTGCAGGTCCACGTCGTCCGAGGCCTCGGGCGCCTCGGTCGCGCCCTGGGACGCGGCTTCGCGGTGCGCCGTGGCGAGGGCGGGCGTCTTCTCGAGGAGCTGGGCGCGGGAGACGGGTTCGAGGGGTTCGGCTGTTTCGAGTAGGGTGTTGAGGTCGGATGGTTTCTCTGTTTATTCGTCAGACCCAACTTTGTATCATGAGGAAGTAGCTTGTATAGGAAAGGCAGGGAAAGATGGTATATGAAGAACCGCGTGACAGAAGGGTGACGAATACGTACGGATATACTCCCTCGCAGGCCCATTAGCAACAGCGTGCAACAACCCCATGAGGCCGCACGCGTTCCTGATCGTCTGGCGGAACCACAGCACGGGCTCCTGCGGGCCTTTACCCTTGTACTCGTCCAGCAGGGCGTCCTCGGCCAGGCGGTGGCTCTCGTAGGCGGCGCTGACGGGGAAGACGAGGAGGACGGCGAGGGCGGGGCGCGGGACGAAGGAGAGCATGTCCGGGTCGGTGAGGGAGTAGACGTCGTGGATCTGGAGGGCCGGGGAGAGGCCGAGCTTGTGGAGGAGGGAGGTCATGAGCTCCGGGTTGGCTTCGAGGGGGATGAAGGCCGGGGCTGCGGCGGAGGGGTCGGGGTTTGTGGAGGTCATTGTGGAGGACTTTTGGTTTTGCTGTCCTATTCCGCTCTTGTCGTTTGGTTCTGAGTGTTGGTTTGTAACGTGTGGGTGTGGTTTGTGGAAGAGATTCGACAGAGTGTTGCGTTTGTTTGGGTGATGTAGGACGAAGGGCGCGGGCCAGTTGCAGTTGCTTAGAAGACAAGCGAGGTAGAGCTGCCATGTCACTTTGCCCCTCCAAAGGCAACTGGGATACATGGTGGGGTCGGTGAGGTAACTGGCAGGGGTCGCCCGCAGTGAGCCCAGAATGCGGGGTGTTCAGTTTGGAGCTTGGGGTAGAAAAACACCAGCCAAGGACTTTCTTATATTCAGATTTCGACCACCTGCTAACAGTACAGTTCCTCTTTAAGATGTGTGGGAGGTATTTCTAAAATCCTATGATGTCTATCTTACATCTTCTTCTGGAGTGTATCCTGTTCCTACCCCTTCTGTGTCCGTGTTGTAGTGTACAAGGCCCCAACCAAGCCTCCCTACTCATGCCTTTCGATATGCTTTGCCTGTGCAACCAGACAGAATATTATACAAGTGAGTGTAGCTACAAGACTACATTGTTTTACATCTGATGAAGCTCCCGGAGCTCCTTGTCAGCCTCCAGTCTGAGACTGTCCTGTTAGACGGCAGACTCCTCTTTCGGCTTCTCCTCCTCGTCTTTCAGCCCGGTCTCATAATCGCTCTCATCCACCACCAGAGGCTCATCGAGCCCCGCAGAGCTCTGGTCGAAAACGATTGAGTCATTCTCAGAAGGCGCGAGACCAGCGAGCTTCTCTGCACTAATTTCGTCTTCCTCTTCTTGGAGTCTGCGTAGCTCCACCTCCATCTCCGCCTTCATATCTTTCGCCCTCGCCTCCCTGCGTCGTTTCTCACGGACCTTGGTGTGCACCTCAGGATCGAAGACGGCGTTGGTCTCGAGATAGAACTCAATCTTTTCCTCGACTGCGTCCTTGACGTGGAACGCAAGCGCCTGACTCGTGAAGATATTGGGGAAGCGGTAGCTCACCCACAAGTACAAGGTGATGGCCGCGTGCAGGGACTCGATGGCGTGAAGGTACCGTCTTCCCTGATTGTTGAAGTCGTCGAGCGTGGCGTCGAGCAGCTCCAGCTGGATGGGCTGAATATCGTACAGGGCGCCGTTGCTCCTCGTCGAGATGCACTTGGCAATGGCCTTGAGAAGGTCCATCTGTCCCTGCTCCCGAAGTGAGATTGGCGCGTGAAGAACGGTGATGCTGTCCTGAATCGTCAAGGGGAACTCCTGGATGGTGTCTGCGATCTTGGCGCTGATCTCAGGAACATAGACTGTGAAGCGCTCCGAGACGGGCGCAAGTTCGCGCAATCGCAAGAGGATGAAGCTGAGAGGCGTATCGGGAGGGAAGTATTCGGCGAACTGCTCGATAATGTGCGATGGGGGGTGAATACCTGCAGCCTCGAGCGGTGCCGTTTCGGTGTTGAACCCCTTTGCAATCGCGGGCAAATCCTCGTCAGCAAGCGTTGTAACGTAGCCAACCTTCTTCTCTTCAACTTGGTTGGCTTTATCACTCGTTGCAGTAGCTGCCTGCCGAGCAGTTTTGTATCTTCCTGCTCTGCCACCAATTTGTTTGATTTCGGATGTTGTCAGCGTGCGATGCTGTGTACCGTCGTGCTTCATTGACGTCTCAAAGATGACGCGTTTGATCTCTAGGTTCAGGCCCATGCCGATGGCATCGCTAGCCACCAAGAAATCGTAGTCATTGTTGGGATCGTTGAACAGAGCTGCCTGCTGCGCTCGAGTCTCGGGTGGCAGTGAACCGTAGACAATAGCGCATCGACGGCCGGTTGTCTCCTCGATGGCGTTCTTCAGACCATGAAGATTGACACGCGTGAAAGCCACAACGGCATCGCCCTTTTCCAGGTTGGAAAGATCGTTGCCGAGACTCTTCTCCATCGTTTGCAACGGACTAAGTCTTTCATACCGGTGAACAATGCACTTATCGCCGATACTTGAGCAGATGGACTTGATGAGGTCGACAACTCGTTCTTCGCCGCAGAGATGGACCTCTTTCGCCATGACGCCAAGAAGTGCCTGAGTCCACGCCCGCCCTCGCTCATCATGACCAATCATCTGAATCTCGTCTATTACCGCCACATCAACAATTCGATTCAGAGGTGTCATCTCGACGGTGCAGCTGATGAAGTAATTGTCGGCATCCGGTATCCGCTGTTCCTCGCCTGTGACCATGGCGCAAGGCTTCCCGTTGGCCTGGAACCGAGAGTAGATCTCGTGGGCCAGGAGACGAAGAGGTCCTCCATAAATACCGGACTTGGAGTTCATCAGGGCCTGCAACGCCCGATACGTCTTTCCAGAGTTCGTCGGCCCAACGTGTAGGTGAATAGTGCGCTGCATGGCTCGTGTGGCGGGGAACCATTCCATTGGATACCGCAAATCAGCCAACTTCCTCTGCCGCGCCGTCGAGTGTGTCAGTTTCGATCTTAGCATGAAGCTCTGGAACGAGTATCGCAGCTCTGCCGTCAGGCCCTTGACATCGCCACGGATGAAGGCGTTTCGTAGGGACCAGAACAACGGGTTCTCCTTGCGTAATGTTGCACCCTTGTTGGCCAAGCCAATCGCTTTTTGTATGGTGTCGCGGAATAGGGCGATCTCGTTATTGAGGCCATACTCGCTTCGAACGCCAAAGTTGCGGTACTCGGTATTGGTCTCTGACCAACGTCCCATGTTGTCAATGACGACGTTGAACTGAGTGAGAATCATGTTCCTGAAGACGTCGTATTTGGATGTTTTGCGGTCGGGAGGTGAGTATTTCCTGGTAGAATACCTCACAAGTGTCGCCTGCAAAGTACAATTGTCAGAATGTATCCGGTAGGTTGAGAAGGGAGGCAGAAGCTGCCGCGTACCTGGTAGGCGGACGGGGAGGATGTTGCGAAGCCATGGCCTGGCGCAGGACGTGTCGCCGCCGCGCAGAGCTTCGAGGCTCGCAAAACTGATCTCATGGTGGGCGAATTGCTGCGCAACAAACCATGGCTAACAACATGCAAAAAGCATGCCTGTTTGGGTATGTCAATGACAAGATCGTCTACGTGCTACCCTCCTTTCGCAGTCGTGCACCTGTGCAGTGGGAGGAGCACGGTGGTCACTGACATCCATGAAGGGACTGGGAAATTTTGGGAACCGATAAGAGGTCTGAAATGCTTATCGCCATGACCCCTGATTCGCCCTTGGCAGGTAGACGTGGGTTGCCCCACTCCGGCTTAGCGCCTCCGCCTCCGATTGCACCGTCCTCGTCGTCATCACGCATCCAGATCCCCAGGTCCCCAGGTTCCCACATTGCATTCTGCGACAGCGACCATCACGCCGACTTCCGACCCGTCTAACTACCTACGAACGTACGCAACCCGCCGTCGCATCTCGAATATCGCCGCCTATTCCACCTCGGTGTATTGAAAAGGAATCGAAAGCATCTCAAGATAGGCTCCTTAGATCCTTCAGAAACCCCAATACCTATCATCATGGCGTCTTCATCCACGCCCATCACCCCGTTGCTCTAGTAAGAAGACGCCCACGACCTTTCTCCTTCCGGCTCGAACTTCCCCCGTCTGCTGGACACATTACTGACATGCCGTCGTCCTATAGCTCGTGCATAGCGCACAACAACACCATCCTCAGCGAATGCACCACATCGGCCGTATCGCAAACCTCTTCCCTCGCCTCCGTCATCCTCCCCAAAATCGAGCACAATACCCCTCAGAAGCTGACCTACACCCACGGCTCGCACCACATCCACTACATCGCCGAGGCGCCCTCCGACCATCCAGACCACCCCTCCGCCGGCGGCCTCACCTTCCTCGTCATCGCCGACGCCTCGCTGGGCCGCCGCATCCCCTTCGGTTTCCTCTTTGAGATCCGCCGCCGCTTCCTCGAGCAGTTCCCCGCCGAGACAACCGACTACGCCGAGCTGCCCAACTACGGCGCCGCCAGCTACAATGGCCAGCTCAAGAAGTTCATGGTCGACTTCGGTACCACGAGCGGCGGCAAGGACGACGCAATCTCCAACGTCCAGCGCGAGATCGACGACGTCCGGGGCATCATGACGCGCAATATCGAGGGCTTGCTCGAGAGAGGCGAGCGCATCGACTTGCTCGTCGACAAGACGGACCGTCTCGGCGGCAGCGCGCGCGAGTTCCGCGTCCGCAGCCGCGGCTTGAAGAGGAAGATGTGGTGGAAGAACGTCAAGCTGATGGCGCTCCTCACGCTGGTCGTGGTGCTCATCGTACTCGCCATCGTGATTGCGGTGAAGAACTAAAAGCAAGCAGGACAACTGTTTTCGCCTGGTGCTGGGTTTGGAGAGTTTGGCTTCGAATTGGCTTCGTGTAGCGGGCACGGAGCTATGTACACATGAACGCGACGTGTTTCGATGGTGTAAAGTGCTGCTAGTCAAATTGGGCAAATGGTTTGGCTTGAATTGGCGAAACGGGAAACGCAACTTTTTTTTTGGGAAACAAAACGACGAGACTTTTAATTTTCGTTATGAAGAAACCCTCGATGGGGTTACACTCAACCACACATCTCCTAAACTGTCACTTGTGGGTTCAGGAACCACATCGAAATACAAGTAAATCGATTAATCCGCTTTCACTGATCACTTGTGTATGTCAGTGTTTACACCGCGGCACGGTAGCCCTTCTCGAGACTTATTCGGTGTCTCTTATACGGCAACGGCAATGATTGATAAACAAGAGGGAAATGAGCAAGACCGTTGAGATTCTACTACCTGAACTAGGCAATTTCAACGTGCTGGCATGTAGCCCATTTGAAGACGAATATGAATCAAACGGCTTCGAATAATAAAAAAGTTTACACGTATATTGTACAAAGAGACGGCATACGAGTCCTTCCATGATCAGACATTTATATCCCAGTTAAAGTCATACCTGATCATCATGCTCTCTAATTTATATATATTTGCCCCAAGGAACACAGAGTAGCCTAGCGACACCTAACACATTGTATCACTGGAGCTTTATTGCACCATCCCCCTTGTCTGTCCTCCTTTAATTCCCTTTCTCTGTCTTCTGCTAGACGTTCCGTACTATCATTGAATCCGCCGGTCCAGTCATTTCAGACAAGGCATCGATGGACTAGTAATCCTCCCTCTCAATGAACAATCATTAAACATTCGAAAGCCGCTGACTCTCGAAGGTTTCAGCTTTGGATCAACACCCCTGATAGTCCTTTCTTTGCTCTTCCTTCCCTCCGATACTGTAAGACGGGTGATAGCTACCTTACCCTACGTAGGCAGCGCCCATCAGCGTGGCACGAGAAGCCAAGATGAATGAGATTCAGATGAAAAAAGAAAATGAAATGTCTGAAGCGGCATGAGGGTATTCGCCACACATCAGACTAAAACACAAGCCGCATCCAGATCTCGGGTAGTATCCTCTTCCAACAAAGCATCATCTAGCAACACACTCAGCCTCGGCAAAGATTATTCCAGCGGCGCCGCCGCCCATAAAAGCTGGCAGTGTTGCTTCCCCCCTCCCACCTCCCCGGCAGCTTTGATAACATCGCTCATCTGATCAGAAACTGAAAATATAGAGAAACCGAACCACATCAGCCCCTCTCATCACAGCTTCGGCGGAGAGCTCCCTTCGACCGCCAGCCTCCTCCGCCCGTCTTGATAGACGTAGCCGTGCGCCACGGGATTGAGGCCCATGCCAGGCGCCAGGGTCACCGGCGGTCGCCGCAGCTTCTCTGTGAAGAAGACGGGATGCCGGATTGATGAGTTATGCTGTAGCTGCTGCTGCTGCTGTTGCTGTTGATGGTGATAATGTTGTTGCTGCTGCTGCGCCATTGCTGTCTCGGCCGTAGCAGCGTGGTGTCGTTCCCAAGCACTCTGTAGCGGTGGCGGATGCCGAGGTTGTGATGATAATGATGCGGCTGTTGCGGTGTGATGCGCCGTGCCTGGTGCTGCCGTACTACTGGACATTGTGTACGGGCTCGATCCTCCAGAAGATTCGATCGTGTTCGAAATAGGGAATCGAGCTTTTGAGAGAACCACCGGAATTGATTCAAATGCGAAACTGATATGTATTCTCTCAACTACGCATGTGTTGTGAGATTTCTGTCATGTTTGGGTCTTGCGGGGAAAGATTACACAGACACCCCGGCTCGCCGAGCTCCAAGTCTTGGGGTAATAGCACCTGAGGCCACGGCACTTGCACGGTGAAAGGTGGGGGCGGGCCCCCCGGACTTTGGGAGCTCAACGGCGGGAAAAGAGTCCGAGTCCCAAAGGCTCCGACCACCCAGCTTCCATCCGGAATCACCTCCTTCCTTAACCCGATGGTGGGGTAGGTAAGTATATCGCTCCCCTTCAACCCTATCCCTGTCACCAGCACAGCAGTGCCCGTCTAGGTCGGCGAGGTCAGGTCAAGCTGTGTACGAGGTGGTCGAGTGGTCAAGTCAAATCCAATGAAGTCAGAATCCGGGTTGGCTGAGAGATGCGCTGTCCGAGTCCAGGCAGGGGCGTGAATTATAAGGTCAGTACTCTCCGTCCTTCCTTTCCTATTGGGCTTTGGTCTAGGTTGAAACCCAGTAGTCAATACTATAGCCAAAGCAAGTTGATATTCCCGGGAAAGATGCATGTAGCGTTCGTACGAGTGACTGCTAACACTCACTCGTTTTCTCATTAAGTAGATAGTCTATACAGATGGCACTCAAAAACGCCCCCAAATCTTTTATGATATCTCCTTCTTGGACTTCTTTTTACTCTTTGCCTTCTGCGACTCCTTGCCCTTCTTGATGGCCTCAACCAAAGACTCAACCTCCTTCACCTTTTCCGCCTCCTTGGCCTCCTTGGCTCTTTCCTCCTCCATCTTCTTCTCCAGCGCCCTGAGAGCAGCCGAGTCCTTTTCCGTCGTCTCAATGAGCTTGTCGCTCTCCTCCCACAGCTTCTTGGCCACCTCGTCGTCCTCAATCTCCGTCCGCGCAAAGTCCACGATCCGACACTCCTTGATCAGCTTGCCGGCGCCCGCGCGCACGAGACTAGACTCCATGGCCGCGTACAGGATCGCCTGCGCGCCCTGCTCGGGGCTCTTGAGGAAGAGCCACGGCAGCGGGTAGGCGGCGATGTAGGCGAACAGGCCGAGCAGCGAGCCCCGCGAAAGCCAGCGCCGCATGCCCGGCGTGCGGGAGAAGCCCGGGTCGACGAAGAAGACGCGCGCGTTCATGGGTAGCTGGTCGGGCCGCTTGTAGTTGTCGAGGTGCTTCTGGAAGGCCTGGCCGAAGACCATGAGCGCCAGCTTGCTACGCTTATAGGCCGTACCCGGCGACCACGTCTTCTTGTCGAGGGGTTCCTTGAGGGACGGGGAGCCGATGTACGAGGAGCATGAGGCGAAGATGATGCGCACGTCGCGGTCCCAGGGCTGGGCCTTGATGGCGGGGCTGAGGATGGAGAGGAGGTGGAAGTTGGCGAGGTAGTTGACCATCCACGTCTCCTCGATGCCCTCCACCGTCTCCTTACGCTTGGCCGACGCGGGGGTGATTGTGGCGGCGGCGAGGATAATCATGTCGAGCCGGCGCGGCGGGGAGTTGTCGATCCATTTCGTCGCAAACTTTCGGATGCTGTGCAGGGACGAGAGGTCGACGTGCTCGGCGTAGATGAGCTCGTTGCCGGTCCGGGCGCGCACGTCGCCAATGTACTCGACCAGGAAGGGGTCCGACACGGGGGTGTGCGTGAGGAGGATGATTTGCGCGCCACGGCTGCCGAGCTCTAGCACCGTCGTCGCTCCTATGCCCGACGTCCCGCCCGTTATCATGACTACCCTCCCGTGCATGTCCCGCTCGGCCGTGTTGGAAGCACCTGAGCTCCATAACTTGATGAAGACGAGAACCGCTACTGCCGCGACGGTCTTGAGTATGAACCACCAGTTCTCCGTCACATAGGTCGGAAGGCCGGCTTCGGCGATGTAGCCAAAGTAATCGAGAGGCATTGTGAACGAGTGACTGGGCTTAAGCTGGAAGGGGGGGACGGTGTCTATTGGCGACTGTCGCGCATGCTGGGGTAGCAATACTTCGAAGGGTTGTAGGCGGACGACTCGGACTCGTTGCAGTGTCGTGGACGAGGTCGTTGAGAAAGCAGGCCGGTCGAAGTGGGCGTTTGCCTTTGCGTGCGTACGAAATATGCGCAGGTTGTTCGAGTGTGTGACGAAGCCGCCAGCTTGCCTTCTAGAACAGAGTAGAAAGCTGATGTGCCGCCAGGGGATTTCCGAATTGCGATGACAGGGGCGGTCCCACTCTGCCGGCAGCCCAGCGGCGGTGGCTTCCAGAATCCAGGGGCACTAATCGCAGAGTTTGCAGGGGATTGAGGCCGCCGCTGGCTGCCTCGCTGACATAATGAGGTTGGTCTCGGCCCCTGTCGAAGAAGTGGAACTTCTTCATCAACCGTTTCTCCATCACCCTGCCCCTTCATCTCACCATATCATTGCACTAGCAGACGGCAACACTCGACATAACTCGGGCTCTCCTCCACGAGCGCACTTGCTGAGGAACAGGTGGTGGCGAGTCGTGCTGTGCAAGTATTGCCGAAATGCAGCGAAGCGTGGAAGGCGACGAGGACTATGAAGAGCAAGAGGACGTACCGCTTCAATATCGACGACCCTTTGGCGCGGGAATCAGCCGCAAGCCTATCCAGTTCGTCAAGGCATCAGATCCAAACCTGAGCACCACACAGGCGGCCAATAAAACAAAAAGCGGCGCTTCCGTTGGCGACTTTTACCTCAGCCTGGTGCTCGGCGACAAGAAGCAAGCGGAAGCCGAAAAGCCTTCGCCGGCGGCAGGGCAAGTATGCGCCGTGTGCGAGTTGCCCGTGGATAAAGACGCCGCCGTGGGAGAGGTCGTCAATGACAATGATAAGCCCACGACAAGTAGACAAAAGCACGAGTCTTCGATTGCTCACCAAGTGTGCCTCACACACTCACATCCCCCATCAGCACTAGACCGGTCGCGCATGGGCTTGACATATCTTTCATCCCATGGCTGGGACCCTGATTCACGCAAGGGGCTCGGTGCCGAAGAGCAAGGCATGCAGTATCCCCTGAAGACTCGACCGAAGGAGGACAAGTACGGTTTGGGGCTCAAGATCCCAAAAGGCATTCAGGGAAAGATTGAAAAGAAGAAGCCGCAGATGCTGGACGCGAAGCAATGCAGAAAGAAGGCTGACGAAGACAAGAGAAAGGCTGAGAGGTTGCGAGAGATGTTTTACGCCAGCGAAGACATTGACAAATACCTGGGGACCGGTTTATAAGGGGATAGGAGTCATGAGAAGCAATGAGATACCCATAATGGAGGACGAATACGAAACTTGAGCCTGTCGAAATCCGTTTTAATTTATAGATATACGGCCTTGAACCTTGGTCAAACGAATTCCCCTTGTACGGACGACTATTACAAGACTTCAAAATACTGCCAAATTACCATAGTTCGCAGTTGTAATAACCAAAAACGAGCATCACAAAGAATAATGGCTTGGCCATGGAGTGGAATAAAGCTGACGAAGAGACGGGTAACAGATTGGCTTTGAAACACACAAGGGATTGTCTTGAGAAAACAACCATAATCCTTGCGACGGGGAGGCTACCTACGAGAATATCTCCCGCCGTGCCGCTGGCGCATCTTCAAAAGCGCCGCCGTTGTGAGGTGCAGGTGCGAACCTGGAAGGCGGTGACCTCATTCATCGCTCTTTTGGGGGCCGAAAGTGGGGGAATGCCGCTGCACTACCTACCTGACTGTGTATGTAAGGTTAGGTACTACCTAAGGTATGGCAGGCACTAGGCTAAGTACCTCCAAGTACCTGTCCTAAGGTGCTGGGCAGTATGTACAAAGTATGCGTACCAGGATTTGTGTTGCATAGCATTTTGGGCGAGGGGTCAGGCCAGTTCCAATAAGGAGCCCAGGACTACGGAGTACCTTACGGCCCTGCTTGCCTGGGCCCCGCCCCCCCTCCTGGGCCTCAACTTGAAGCGCGGGCGGGAGTCCTGAGGAAAGTAGCGGTGCGGTGCGCAGTGGAACGGGAGATGGAACCAGAAATGGAACTGGGAACGGGGACTGGGACGTGGAACTACCTGCCTCTTCCCGTTCTTCTACCTCTGTCTTCCAAGCCTTGAACCTGCTGGCCTTTTGACTTCCAGTCGCATCAGGTCATTGCGTTCACCTTCTTCCAGTCAACCCCAACGATAGACCGGATACTTCACGTTTTCCACTGCAGACATCCTCCTACTACATAGTAACACAGCTCCTTGTGCTGTGCGAACTCGACCAACCTTGCCTCTTCCGATCGTAACTCCTCCAACTCACCTCACCCACCCACCTCACCTACCACCACCATACCACGACAAAGCTGTCTGACCGCATAGGAACGTACCCTGCCAGACCTTGCCTTGCTCCCTTTCCCCCTTCCCCAAGCTCCGGTTTGGGTCTTCGGAGCATTGAAGGTCCCACAACTGCGACCGGTTCTTCGTCTATCTTGAAACCCCGCCAGACCCAAACAACGACGACAACGAAGCCCAAGACAACCACCAATCTCCCAGCTAAACATACATACCAGGTGGCTCTCGAATTCCACCCGACGTCTCGTTCTCCAGGACCCGGGCCCCACGATTCGCAGAGCTCGACAACGCGCATTCCTCCAGCCTTGTCCGCCTTTCTTTACTTCGCTGCCACGCTATCTGTGTAGCACCTCAATTTACACAGGCGCACCCGCCCATCGTCGTCGCTCGATCACAGTCGCCGTCCGACAACCTTCTGCCCCAGAGCGACAACCCCCGCTTCCCTCACACGACGCATTGCCAGTTGTCCGCTGCCCACGCGGCAACTTGCCAGGATGGGTGTCTCCACGCTCCAGGAGCAGCATGACGGTGAGCTGGCTCAAAGCCCGAGAGCCCACGATGCTCTCCCAATATCTTCCGCTCTCGATACTGACAATTTGGACAGTTATCATCGACACAATCAAGAACATTACACGAGGCGACGTGAGATCCACCCGATACCTAGCGGACTGCCTACGAGTCAACAAAGCTAACCGTGTCGATACCCATAGTGGAAAGTCTTAGTTGTTGACGACGACTCCCATAAGATTATAGACAACGTTGTCAAGGAAGATGACATTCTCAACAACAATATCGCCAGTATGTCGCGCGACCACGTTTCCTCCTTGCAACGGTACAAGTCCTAACCTCAGACAGACATTGAGCGAATCGAGCAGAAGCGAGATATGAATCCTGAAATGGACGCCATCTACATTCTGTCCCCGAAAGAGAATATTGTCGAAATCCTCATCAACGACTTTGAGCGCCGCAGATACAAGGAAGCGTACCTGGTATGGACCGGTGTCTTGGATCCGAGGATCCGTCGCATGATTGATGGCTGCCCGCCGGCCAAGCAACGCATCGCGGGGTTCGAAACCTTGTCGATTGATTTCTTCCCTCGCGAGTCGCATTTGATCACGTTCAAAGACCCTTGGAGCTTTCCAATTCTATACCACCCCGCGTGCAATAATCTGGTGGCGCGACACATGAAGATTCTAGCACAGAAGGTTCGTAACAGACAGATTGCAGGCTACACAACTTGCCTAGCTGACGACTGGATCAGATCACCGGCGTATGCGTTACACTGGGCGAGTACCCAAAAGTCCGATACTACAGACCGAAGAACCCTCTCCATGAAGCCGCCGTGCTTGCCTCTCATCTAGCTCGTTTCGTGCAGGAGGAGTTGGACGAATATGCGCAGTGGAACCCAAACTTCCCACCACAGTCGTCGCGGCCCGTGGGAACCCTTGTCATCACGGACAGATCAATGGATATCTTGGCACCTCTGGTTCACGAGTTCACATATCAGGCAATGGCTCACGACCTTCTCCCGATACAAGATGGTGACAAGGTGACGTATCGCATGGTCACAAACGAGGGCACCGCACAAGAGGAAGAGAAAGACGTGGAGCTATCTGACAAGGATCCGGTCTGGGTTGACAACAGACACCGACACATGAAAGATACAATTGATAAACTAATGGGAGACTTCCGGAAGTTCTTGGAGTCTAACCCCAATTTTACCAATGAGGAGCAGCAGACGACAAGCTTGAACGCCATCAGAGACATGCTGGCTGGTTTACCGCAGTTCCAAGAGATGAAAGAGGCGTATTCGCTTCATCTGAGTCTGGCGCAAGAAGCCATGAACAAATTCCAAGATCACAAGCTGCCAGACATTGCTTCGGTAGAGCAGACTCTTGCCACAGGATTGGACGAGGACTTCAGGAAACCTAAAAACATATTGGACCAAGTTGTGCGGCTTTTGGACGACGACGCTATCACCCCATCAGACAGATTGCGCCTGATCATTCTCTACGTGCTGTATAGAGACGGCGTTGTGATGGAGGACATCAACCGGTTGCTCGCGCATTCGGGCCTACCGCAAGGGGACGGGGAAATAGTAGTCAACCTCGAGATGCTGGGCGGACACCCGGTGCGTGGTGGTCTGAAAGACGTCCGACCTCCTCAACCGCCCCTCTTCCAAAAGAACACCAAAGCAGCAGAGATCAGCGAGGAATACTCGCTATCACGTTTCGAGACGGCTATGCAGACGATGCTGGACGAACTCTGCCGAGGCACTCTCGATCAAACCACATTCCCTTACGTGAAGCCACCAGCTGATCCCAACGAGGACCTCTTGGCCTCACAACAAGGCTCATTGCGTGCCGGTAGGCCGAATTGGGCATCATCTGGCCGACGACCACCTGAAAACCGACAGCGCTTTATTGTCTTCATGGCTGGTGGCGCAACGTACAGCGAGAGCCGTGCTTGCTACGACGTTTCCGCCCGCCAAGGCAAGGACATCTTCCTGGTGACGAGCCACATGCTCACGCCTCAACTTTACGTCCGCCAAGTAGGCGATTTGGGCAAGGACAAGCGCACGCTCGACATACCAATGGAACGACCGACACCGCGTGCTCCGGCGTGGGTGTATGAGAAGCCTGCCCCTCCGCCCAACCCTATGGCGCAACGTCCTGCCCCCGGTATGGCACCGCCGGGCGCACCGTCACCGGCGGGTGGACCACGCAGAGCACCAGCGCCAGGCGGTCTACCGGGGCGTCCTGCCGCGCCGCCAACGGCTCAGATGAGCAATATGAACCTCAATGCGCCTCTCCCGCCTGTGGCGAATGGTGGCGGAGCGTCGCCTGCCCCATCCGACGGCGGCAAACCGCAAAAGCTGGAGAAGGATAAGAAGAAGCGCAACTTTTTGGGTATGAAGAAGAGCCACAAGGACAAAGATAAGCATTGAGTTGAAGGGCGTAAATGGAAGGGCGAGGCGGGAAAACATGGTTCTCGACCGGACTTTTATCCATCTCACCCTCAGCTTTCCTCAACACCCTCTTTCTTGCACATTCTGTTGCCAGCGTGGCGTTCTTTGGTGTTGTATCAGGGGCGGTAGGGTTGCCCAACTAGTTGCAACAATTCCTATAGATGTGTGTGGGAACTATGCCTCTGCTTGGCTTTCTCCCTTCTTGTCTCTGAGTGATTTTGCATATGATGTGGAGGAGGGCAAGAAGGAAGATGCAGGCAGGAAAGGAGTGATGGCAGTTGGCTGACTGAGCTGAGGGGGGCATGTAGGTATATATGTACTCTGGATCTATCGTGGAACCAAATCACACAAAACTCAAATAAGCATCATTGACAGACCTTTTTTCGCGTATTTCAATTGGCATGATTGACCGTTCAAGCAATCATCAGGGAAGGCACGAATGACGTCACCAGATTTCACCGTGGAAGCAAGGCGCAGCTTTTTTGGAAGCCAGGAAAACCAACATCCATTTCATTTCATTCGTGTCCACCGCGGTAGACTAAAGGTAACATGAGGGATATCCTATCCCACTCCCCCCTTCCTCAGAAACTCGCCACCCTTGTTTTCTGCTCTTGATTGTACCATCGCCGAGAACCATTGTCTTCTGAGAGGACACAGAGCCCTTCCGTTGAGGGCCTGAGCCAAAACAAACATGTCTGCTTAGTTGTTAGTTCCCTCCACTCATGAGCGTAGGAAACGTATCGCATAAACGTATAACCTCATCGAGGTAGTTGAGGCGATGCCTCGCCCGTGCGAAGCTGATAGACTGGGCTCCTCCCACATTTGAGGATAAGTCTGGTATTCGAGGTGAGTGGTTGGGTGCTAGTCCAGCAAATCCGACAAGCAACATGTCGTTATACCGACATTTACGTTTATAGTGTTTCATAACATGCCCTTTTCAAAGACACACATCTGAACATTTGGTGAGAGACTCGAGCAAGGTAAATGTAGCAGCTGAAATGCTACGGAAGTATAGCCTCTACTAAAGAGGCCGATAATATTCCCATAATGTGGGCAGTTTACTGTCTCCGGAACGCCTGAGCGGCGCCGGGAGGCATACGTCCGTCAAAGGGGAAGCCATGACCGTCGGGTCCACCCGGACCAGGGAAGCCAGGCATTCCGGGAGGAGGGATAAATCCGGGAGGGGGTCCACCGAAGAAGCCCGGGGGAGGAGGCATGTTGCGTGGCGGGGGACCTGCCATGGCCTCAGGGGGAGGGAAGGCTCCAGGGGGAAAGTTCGGGGGGAACATAGCGGCCATTGGGTGATTGCGGCCAGGACCACCAGCGAGACCAGGAGGCGGAATGATGGATCTCTGTTGAGGGGGCATGGGAGGACCGCCGCCGCCCTGCTGGATCCAGTTGGGGTTCATTTGATCCAAACCGGGAGGCGGGGGCGGACGTTGCAAGATCTGCGTGGGTTGCATGCGCGCTTCTGGCTCAGGGTGGTGGAAACCCTCATCCATGAAGCCAGGCGGGCCTTGACCACGCATCTGGCGCTGAGTACCACGGCCGCCCTGCGGAAGTCCCTGCTGAAAGTCGGGCTCGCGGTCTGGAGCATGCGGGATCTGAGCGGCGCGCTGAGGTTGCGGCATGCGCATGAGGAGTTGCTGTTCCGTTCGTGGGGGCTCGGGCTGGTTCCTCATCAAGTTCATCAAGAACTCGGTGTTGCTCATGTTGCGGCCTTGGTTTGGTTCCATTCGGCCGGATCCCTGGCTTGAAGCCTGGTGGCGTTGTCCGACTAGCTCCTGGAGCAGTTGGTCTTGACGAGCAGCAGGCGGCTGCTGCTGGTGAGGCATCGTTGGACGCGGGGCAAGAATATCTGACATGGACATGGATCCCTGCGGCATGCGAGGGCGGGGGTCCTCTCTGCGCTCGCCGCCATACTGTTGGAATGGCTCGGGCGAGGCGACGGAGCTAGAAGGAGCATGCTCGCGAACAGGCGGGGGAGGTTCCTGGAATGGTTGGGAAGCAGGTGGCGTGGCTGATTGAAGATTTGAACGCTGCAGCTTCATGAGCAATGCTTGGAAAGCTTGCTTCTCATTGTCGGGAGCCGGCCCAGATAGATCAGGGCCACCGAAAGGAAGGCCTGCCATGGGCGTTGAAGGCTCCGTCTTCATTCGTTGGGTGGGGTCATCTTGGGGGGCATTGAAGAATGAGGTAAACCGAGAGGACTTGCCACCGCCTGCCTTAGACTTGGAAGGAGTCTCTCTCTTGGGCTCGCTCGGGGAGCTGACGTCCAAGCCAGCAGTAGAAGCGAACTTGAGGAAGAATTGGTCGGGGCCAATCTCCACAGCGGGTGCAGAAGCAACAGCTGGCTGCTCGGCTTTGATTGCAGCCTCGACTGCGGCAGCTGGCGCTTTGTCCTCGGCAGGACCGTCGCGACTTGCCTTCATGCTTTCCATGAATTTCTTGAAATCCTCTTCCGTGTGGCCTCCTGCCTTTTCTCCGGCAGGTTCATCGAACCATTCGGGCTCTCGCTCTTGTCTATGTTCGCCGCGCTCCCAGCGACGCTCATAGTTCCTGCCAGTGCTCTTTTCTTCGACGGGCTCAGCCTCCCGGTTCCGGTCTCTCCAGCTCTTGGCCCGGTCAATGCGCTCGCGAGCCGTCAAAGGAGGCTTCTCAGGAGTGTTGGCACTGTTGGTATTGTTACTGGCGGTGCTGTTGTCGTTCTTGAACCAGGGCTCCGACTTGCCCCTGCTAAGGCCATTGCGGGGCCGCGGCTCAGCTTCCTCATGGTCATGCTCCTTGTCGTGATGGTCGAAGGTGCGGTGGGTACGGTCTCTAGGGCCCTCGCGGTCGTCGCGGTCACGGGGACGGCGCTCATTGGGAAGCCTATCACCACCACCAGCGCCCATGCGACCTTGGAAGCGCTCGGCGCCCTCATGCCCGAAGCTCTTGCGCGGCTTCACTGTACTCCATCCCTCCTGATCCTGTGGATCACCGTCGCCGCGACGACGACCAAAGTTTGTGTTTCTCGAATCGCGGAAGCGGTCGCCTTCGGGGGTGTCACCGTTGCGATTGCGGAAATTGAAGCGACTGGGCGAGTCAGCGTCCTTGAGGCCCTTCTCATTATCAAAAGGTTTGCCATTGCGCAGGGTCGCAGAGGCGAAGGCGGTCCGAGGAGGTCCAAGAATAATGTCTTCGGGGTCTGCAATTGAAGTTTGGGTCAGTTGGGATTGCTCAAGGGGCGAGGGAAATGAGGAGACACCGAGGTGGAGACATACTGGCGCTGTTTCGCGAGACGTGGCGGTCAACGCCAGGGCGACGATTTGTCTGATCAAGCAAGGGATTATCGTGGCTTCTTCTGTCAGTGGTGGGTTTGGTGACGTTGGTCTGGGTTCGATTGTTATCGGGAGGTGGCCTGGAAGAAAGAGTTAGAAAAAGAGGGAGTTTTGTCTGAGGGCTATGGTGACGGCCTACCCCATCCATTCTTCAGCGGGCGGTAAAGCAGATGGTTTGATGCATAGCGGTGATTCTCGCAGGTGAATGAGGACCTCTGCTGAATACTGGAGTGCCATAGCAGCAGGAAGATGCAAAGCGCATCCGAGGACAGGTGGGAAGGCTATTGATGGTGTGGCGATGGTGATGTTTGCATGAACAGATGTCGATGATTCGGTCGACAGAAAGAAGGGAGGAGCTGTCGTCGGAGGCAGGTAGGTTGCTTCGCCAGTTGGAGAGGAGATGGATGCGGTGCTGTAGTACTAGTAGGTGGTGCGGTGTTTGGCGCCAGAGGTTGAGGTTGTGTTCGTCGATGCCGTTGTTGCGATGGTTCTTTGTACGTCTCACGGGGTGAAGAGGGGAGTGGGTTGTGGTGGTGGTTGTGGTGATGTCGAGGAAGGTCAAGTCGAGTCGGTCGGTCGGCGGTCGGTGCCGGTCGCAGTTGATGGCCCAGTCAGAATGGAAGATGGTGGGAGATGGGACAGACAGGACGGGAGTGTCTGTACGGAATACGGAGTAACCGTAGGACTGGCTCCGATCGGGCTGCACTACTGCGTACTGCGTACTGCGTCGAGGGCTCTGTCAGTGGCTGGGTAGCTTGATGCGACGAGGCTGGCAATCAGGGACAGGCAAGGCGAAGAGGGTATGATGATTTGGTGATTTGAGGGTTCAGAGTGATGCAATATCTGATGCGGAGTGAGAGATTATTGTGATGGGCGAATTTCGGCAGCGGACTGTCAGGGCGTGCAAAGGTAAGGTAAGGTAGCTGGGTAGGTAGGTGGTACGAATAGAGATGGTGCAGGTGGTCAAAGGAGGTTTTGGCACTTGGGACGAAACCTGGTGGAGGAGGTGCTCGCTCAGGTGCCCAGGTGTCCAGGTCTACCTGCTTCCACTAGCAGCCAAGCACTCCACTCCCCACCTCAGTCTATAGGTACTACGTAAGGTAAGTACCTAGGTAAGGTAAGGTGACCAGCGCACCGTCGGGGCAGCTGTGCCGGTTCACCGTCCAGTGTGTCCCTCCTGTCACCCTCCACCATTTCTACTCACCTGCCGTCCGAGTCTTCTGAGAAATGTATCTGTCGCCTGTCGGGTGTGTGGTAAGGTACCTATTGATGTATTTACCTACCTACTTATTCTGAAGAGGGAGGCAGGCTCGTCAACTTGTCAATGAATTCCAGGTTCCATTTCATGGAAAGAGCATTGGAGTCAAAAATCAGGTACGTATTCGTGCCGACCCTTGGCGCTTCACCTCTCTTACTTTCCCCTCCTTCCTGCGTGCGGCGTTGGCGTGCCTGCTTCCCTCCCAGGCTCTCCTGGCCCCTGCCATCTCGAGGCAAAGAGGCAAATGCAACCAACCCCTCACCCCTGTACCTGGGCTCACCTTAGGTCAACCCATTTGTTCACCTTGAGTAACTCCCTCCACCGAGCCATACTATTACTGCGTACCTAATAACTCGCTTAGCGTGTGACACCCTGTATCAAGGCATTGGACATAAACTCGACATCTCCTTATGGTGTCTATAGCAATAGAGACTCGAAACTCTACTCGATCGACTCACATATACAAAGGCATGTCTATGTTTCTCTACTGCTTGTTCAAATGATCTGCCTCCAAAGACCCATGCTGTGGGATTCTTGACCTTAAAAAAGCCCGGACCAGGAGACTGTCCAAGTTGCGGGTACGTACCTCCTTCTCTCTGCGAGATGGGGGGAAACAATCGCACACTTCCGCCCCACCATCTCCTTCCTAGAGCTTAACCGAGATCTGAATGCTGTTTACCTTAACATTCAGCGTTACATCCTTCGTCTTGGAACTTTGGACATTTCCTGTCCATCGAGCCTTCCAAACCACGACTTGCGCGACCAACTCACAGAGCACATCAATCCAGACAATTTTCGGAATCTGCGGGTGGATGCCATGGCAAGTTACAAAGTTGAACACTTGAGAGCCAAGTATGGCTCAGCCTATCAGCGTCTACACAATTCTTCTCACAAAAGGTCGAGTCCCTGGGCCAGCAAAAGCGGGAAAAGACACACGGTTTCACGACTGACGGGAACTCATTCCCTCTTCTTTTCGAGCCTAGTCCCAATCCTAAATTCATCCTATTCCATCTGGTTTCAAGCTACTTGTGAGAATTCCATCCTCACTTGATCTGCTGTGGCATTAGTGGTTCTTGTGCGACACACATAATCTCGCAAGTTTGCAGCTTATTTTTGGTGTTCACTTACAACCACACTTCACCGCCTCTTATATTCCTCACTGCAGTTCGCCCTTTTGCAACTTCATCCAAGCAAAACCCTCGAAAGGGCAGGAGACTTGTTTTCCCCCGTCCGCATGCAACACATTCTCGCTGTCATTCGCTTATCTTTAGATTAAATCGCCTCACACTAGTCCGAACTTGTCAATCTAGGGGTCTAAGGGTCGGGCCCACCCACGACATTTAAAAGCTTCACCCCTCTGCTACCTACCTCATGGGACTTTTTTTTTTTTCTTTATTTTTTTCCTCTTTGATCTCATATTCAACCCCTCTTGGCTTCAAAAGTTTACCTCAAAAGACTAAACTACAGCATGGCTATTACTCAAAATCATAATTCCATCAGTAGTATACGCTCTTTACAAAGTTGAACATCGACATCCAGTTCACAACTTGCTATCATTCCATAAACTCCTCCGAGGAGCCTTGACTGCTTACAACCACTCAATTGTCTAAGCTCAAAGCGACGCAGGCGATTTTTGAACAGAAAACAAGAAAAAACACCATTCAAAGCTCAAAGTCACAAAAGAAACGAGACTGACCCCTATCACGACTCTCACACGAAGAACTCAGCTCACGATGAACATGCAACCGCCCACGATGAACCATGTCGATAGCGACACTGAGACTCTACTGACGAGTTACCCAGCCTCGAGTCTCTCGAGACCGTCTTCCATCTCGTCCGCTCCCTCGTCTCTGGCAGTGAAGGGCGCCTCGGACGATAAGCCCTTTGTCTCAGGCTGCCCCGTCTCCTCCCTCTTTGAGATCCGTGACACGCCCACAGCCGGCCGCGCCGTATTCGCCACACGCGACGTCGCCGCCGGCACCTTGCTCTGGCGCTCCGACGACCTCACGCTCTCCGTCCTCCTGCGGGAGTACAGGCGCGAGGTCTGCGGACAGTGTTTTGCGTACGACTACGGCAGAGACCTGCCCATCCGTGATCAGACTGTCGGCTTCGCCTTTTGCTCCGGTGACTGTCGGGAAACGTGGCGGCGCGAGACTGGCGAGGTAGGTGTCCAGGCTTGGACCGAGGTAAGTACGCTGGTCAACAAGAAGAAGAACAATGGGGGCAGCAACAACGGCGGCGGTAAGGCGAGGGACGAGATGGTGGATATCACCAAGCCAAAGCCCGCAGCCGAGGAGATCACGCAGGCGTGGCAGGCGACCAAGGGACAGGCGGATCTGATTCGCACATTAAGGACAGCGGAATCGTCGACAGACAACGGCAGCAACAACGGCGTCCCGATCACAAAACAACACCGCAAAGCCCTCCAAAAGGCCCTCCAGCAGCCCATCGAGCCAGACGTCATGAACTTTTGCGTCGGCAGCCTCGTGGCGCTCTACAACCACCCAAAACGCTGGGAACACGTCCTCTCCCTCGCCGTGGACTCGACGCCCTACATCAACACGGCCGACCTGCACGCCTTCACCGCCACCTACCTGCAGCTGCTCGCCGTCCTACCTGTACCCTTACTCTCCCTCGTCACCCCCGAGTCCCTCTTCCTCATCTCCTCGCGCGACAACCACAACGCGTTCGGCATCCGGTCCCTCGAGGACGAAGGGTCCGAGCTGTTTGGCTACGGGTGCTGGCCCGCCGCGAGCTACTGGAACCACTCGTGCGGGCCGAACATCGAGAAGAGGAGGGAGGGCAGGGTGTGGGAGTTTCGGGCGGGGCGGGATATCGGCAAGGGAGAGGAGATGTGCATCACGTACTTGGGAGGGGAGGAGAAGAAGTGGTCGAGAGAGAAGAGGGTTTCGACGTTGAAGAGGAATTGGGGGTTCGAGTGTGGGTGTAGAAGATGCGAGGAAGAGTTGCAGTGAAGCCAGCAACAGGAATAGAGCTGCAAACCGTCTACCCTGGAACGATGCTACACATATGTTCGGAGATTATGTTGACGGGTATATATATCAGAGACGAGGTTATAGAAATAGAAATAGACCTGCGTACCAACACCAAACCTGTTCTTTGTGTATCTTGAAAATACATATACCAAGTTACATCAAGAGTTTCCACCTATGGTGCGTTATCTGAACGTCAGTCTGCCTCGATCAAGTATCTCGAGACTTTGAAGACAAATTTTGTCTATCTACTATCCTAGTCCGGTAGTCTAATAGCAAATGGTCATCTCAACTAAATCAACTAGCACATATATCCCGAGTAGTGTGAGCGACATAAGCACTACTAGTTTGTAGTCCCGACCAAAACCCGACGATAACGACAACTAAAGCATGCGGGAAGTAGATTTGATATTCTAGGGAGCTACTTGACTTACGAGTCCTGGTCCTCTATCTAATCAAAAAGAAATCAAGTAATCTAGAAGAAGGGAATCCTGATTGAATCCCTTCGAAACGGAATGCAAACCCCTTTTTTAATCTGAATACCTCACAATTACCAGACAGCCTCTTTCTCCAGAAACAATTTGATTGTCGACAGCCTCTCTTCTTGAAGATTGGTAACAGAAATGATCTAGTTGGAACATGCCCCTCTCGCAACTTTCTATGAGTTCACTTCATGTTCAACGGCTGATTGTAGGGGCATGTTCTCCATATCAGCAATTATAGACGATTTGCTGACTTCCCTGGCCAAGCTACGTAGTCGATATTCCAGCGCTTTTCTCCTGCGATTTTGCAGTCCTGGGCTATCTTTCTATCTCCCGAAATATTGCTGATATCCATATGGTGAGCTCACTCCATCCGAGTCCTAGTATCACCCAAAGACATACAATCAGACATCACCATAATTCAGCTCAACAGCTAGTTTGAAATATGTGTTGTGATATGTACACACACTGATGAGGAGTATATTCTAAATGTCTCTGACCCGACTCCGATTTTTTCCTCCTTTCTCGATTTGTACATTACGTGATACTACACCAGCGCCATCCTGTTTTACTTTTTGAATCTCCCTTCCTTTCGTCTTCAACCCTCCAAACCCAAGGGAACGGCCTTCCGGCTCCATTCCCCAACCCTCTCCTGATCACAAGTCTCCCAAACCCGCCTCCTCAAAGCGCGGTACAACTGCTTCGTCTCCCTGGTATCAGCATCAACCTTTCCAACGCCATCGCTGCCGCTGCCGCCGCCACACCGGGCCTCCTGCACCTCCAACCAACTCACAATCCCAAACCTCGTCGCCAACGTCGTGCTCCCGCCCTCGATACACGTCGCCCGCCACAAGATCCTCAAGATCCTCGTCCTCAAATTCGCCCGCATATACGGGTTCCCCGCCAGCGCGAAAATCTTCTCGAACCACTTCTTCTGATGGTACACGGCCAGGTCCGCCGGCGTCCGCAGGCCGTCCAGCAGGTACGCCAGCAGCCAGCTCACCTCGGTATAGTACCGATCGTCCTCGGACGGCGCGCCGTGGAGGATGTCGTGCGCGAGGGGCACCTTGTCGTGCTGCCACACGGGACCGCGCGTGAGGAAGCTGTTCACCTTGGCGTAGAGGCAGTGCAGTGGGTTCTTGAGGACCTCGAGGGAGGCGATGGCGAAGGAGACGAGGGGCGAGGCGACGGGGCCACGGGTCACGAGGGCGCGGGAGGATTCTGCCAGCTCTGAAAGGAGGAGCCAGATTTGGTCCTTTTCTTCATAGTTGGACTCCTTGAACTTGGCTGCCATCTTGAGGATGTTGGTGAGGGCTTCCTGGCGGATACTGCCGTGCTCTGACCAGAGCAAGCGGATGAGCGCCGCGGCGTAGCCCTCGTCAACGAGGTCCTCTACTGATTTGGAGTTCCACTTCAGAAGGGCAGAGTTATCGTCGTCAAGCTCGTAAGAGACGTCGAGGATAACCTCCAGCGAATGCTTATCCATCTCTTCGTCATTGGCGCTCGTGTTTTGCCTTTGCAATTGGGAGCCAGCATCGTCCGCCACCGTAGCCTCATCCCTAGGCTCGCCATTGAGCAAAGCCTTGTCAGTCTTCGGGATAACGGCCGAAGCGCGGTCTCCCAAGACCTCGGTCATCTTCTTGGCAAACGCACCAATGACGGCCTTGGTCTCCCCCTTAGTCTGCGCGCAACTCAGGAGCACCGTAAGGAACTTGGACAGAAGCTCCAGGTCCTTCTTATCGGTGGCCTTGTCGGCAACAAATGACAGCTGCTCAACCATCGTAGCCAAGAGCAAGCTGGAGAACACCTCATCACCGCCTTGAGTGGCACTTTCCTGCATCAGGTCCACGTACTTCAGGGGCGAAGCGGCGCATCTTCCAGCGCAGTTATCGACAAACTCCCAGATGAGATCCGGATTCCTCGACTTGCCGCTCTTCTTCAACTCCCGCGCGGCGCAGAGGAGAGGGACGAGGCCGGTCTTCTGCAACACCAGCTGGTGCTGCACAGCGACGGACTCGAGCACCTCCTTCAACTTTGGTCGTCCCTGGGCAGCCTCGACGTAGAACTTGAGCAGCGCGACAAACGGCGACGCCGCGAGACCCTCCGTCTTGGCAAACCACCGCATACCGGGCGAGTATCCAGCAATGGCAATCAAGTTCTCCAACTCCATAAGAGCAAGCGCCTGGTTCTGCGGCTCGTCCGCGCGACTGTCGAGGCGCGTAAGCGAGTTGACTAGGAACGGCGAGACGTCAAAGTTGGCACGCAGCGCGACCTGTGGAATGACCTCGTAATACAGCAGCAGCAGCCTGCTGGCCGCCTCACGCTGAAGGACATTCTCCTCCGCCATGGCCTTGTAGCACTTTGTCACCTCCTTCATATCGGGAATCTTTTGGCAAAACTCGTCAATGAGCTTACGGCTCGCCGTCTCCCAGGTCGATTTTGACGACTCGGCCGCCTCGCGGTGCATCTTCAACGCGACCTGGAGCTTCTGGAGAGCAAGGACGAGGATCCGAACGGCAAAGAAGGAGACCAGGGTAGACTTTGACGAGAGACACCTTACCAGGTCGCGCTGTTTGAGCGGGAGCGGCAGGATGTTGTCGAGAAGGATGGATGTCGGCGGGGGCACGCGGCGGTAGCCCGTCGTGGGACCGTAGTGCGGCGGCAGCGGGAGGTTGACCGTGTTGAAGAGGAACGCGGCGTACCCGATCCACGTCATGGATAGTTTCGGCTCAAAAGTGAAAGACTTGTTGTTGATAAAGTAACTGGCGACCAGCTCGGGCGCCGACTGGAAGATGGCGACGATGAGCTCGCTGTGCTTCAGACTCGACCACGGACGCAGCTTTTGTATAAACTCGGAGAGCACAAAATTTGCGACGGCGATGTCGTCCTTGTACTTGTCCATCCACGCTACGCGCTCCAGGGCGTAGTCGTCCAAGCTCTTGACGTCCTGCGCCGCCTCGTCCTCGAGCTCCTTGGGGTACAACCCCGTTCCAGAGTACAGCACGCCCGCTCCCGGTGTTGTGCAGGTGTAGAGCAAAAACTCGTGAACAGATTCCCTGACCGAAGGCTGGTCGTCTTCCTCGACATCGTGTCTGTACGTGTATAGTCCCGCCAGCCGATCCAGAGTCTTTGTGTTGAAGGTCCTGAACTTGACCTCGCGAGGCAGCTTCTCGTCCAAGAGCACGCTCTTCTTCAGCGCAGCCAGCAGCTCGACGATCAAGAATGGCGGGTCGTCCTTGATCAAGAAGGTCAGGTGTGAAAACACCTCTTTGAGCATCAGCAGCTCCTTCTTGGCCTCCGACGGCAAGAACTTGAGGCAGCTCAAGAACAGCTTGATGGCATTCGTCCGCACCGACGGCTTAGACGGGTCCTCCACCGCGCCGCCCCCCCTCTCGCCGTCCGCACCGAGGTGCCGGATCTCCAAGTTTCTTGCAAAGCTCGCAAATGTGTGGTCCCGTGCCCGGAAAACCCTCCTCGCGAGCGTGCCGCCATCCAGCGTCACGAGCTCGCGCATCAGCCGCAGCGTCGGCGATATGACGTAGCCGCTACCCTTAGGCGCCGAAAGACACTTTGCAATGAGCTTCAGCTGGCGCTCCTGCAGCAGTGTACGGGCGATGTCGAGGGCGTGGGGCAGGAGCTGGAGGGACTGCGAGACAACCTGGAGGAGCAGGGCCAGCACGGCGGGCACGGCGGACATCATGGCCTCGTTGTTGACCTGCGCGCCGTAGGACCAGGTCTCCATCACGTCGGAGAGGTAGACGGCGTCGTCGCCGGTGCTGTCGCGCGGCCGGGAGGCCTCGAGGTACTCTCTGAGGAGGGCAAAGCGGGCGTCGTTGTCGCCAGTGCCGGAATTGAAGCCGTCGAGGAAGACTTTGAGGGATTGGATGCCTGGTGAAGAGACGAATATGTCAGTCTTATGCTTCCCAATTGACCGGTATGCCAGTAAGAAATGATGCGCTTACCATGCCGCGCTCGCTTCTGGTCCTGCTCAAAGGTCAAAAGCTGCTGCAGATGCCGCGCAGAAGCAACCTCTTCGAAAGTCGGCGCCTCATGCACGACCTTCTGCCTCTTCCGCGACGCATCTGCGCCCTCAAATCCTCCACGCGATGGGCGTTTAGGCATTTTGGGGTATCTTGTCTGAAAAAATTGAAAACACAACAAAAGAGGGTTGTCCTAAGTGAGCGGACTCGTCCACTGCATCTTTCCCAAGAAATCCTCCATGCGGAATACAGCGGTGGATACCATCCAAGAAATAAAAAGTTCTGCCGTGTAGACCGCTCTTGTCGTCTTTTCTTTTCAGGTTTAGCGCGGGGATCTGGAGGGGCGGATTGGGGGTACCTTAGCAGGGGGGACCCGCAATGACATTTCGCCGACCAGTTGCTGGAAGTTCAGGTTCCAAATAAACTTCCCCCGCCAGCTTCGAGAAAACCAAACGATTCCATCGCATCCATCGCAACCATCTCACGACGCTACCGAAGCCTTCCGTACCGACGCGATCCTTCAACACACCCTTAAACAGTCGCAAAATACAGCCCACATACCTACAACACACACCTTCACAATGGGTTCTATCGTCATCCCCCATCTCAACAGCGGTTGGCACGTCGACCAAGCCATCCTCTCCGAAGAAGAGCGCCTCGTCGTCGTAAGTTCTTCACAACCAGGCACCGGGCGCACCCTCTACACACGCATTGAAAAGCCCGACTAACAAAACTCCTCTTCACAAACAACAGATCCGCTTCGGAAGAGACGCAGACCGCGACTGCATGAAACAAGACGAAGTCCTCTACCGCATCTCAGACCGCGTCAAGAACTTTGCCTCCATCTACGTCTGCGACATCGACCAGGTGCCCGACTTCAACCAGAGTACGTCTTGTCTCCTTCCACCAACCCCACCACTGCCTAGGCAAAACCGACAACCTACGAAAAACACATACACCCTCTCCAGACTGATAGATGCTAACATTCGTCTACCTGGCAGTGTACGAACTCTATGACCCCTGCACAATCATGTTCTTCTTCCGGAATAAACACATGATGGTTGATTTCGGAACGGGTAACAACAACAAGGTAATGCAAACCCTTCCTCCTCGCGATGCGCCCACCTAAGCAACGAACTAATAAGATACCTCTTTTCTTCTCAATAGCTCAACTGGGTGCTGGAAGACAAACAAGAACTCATAGACATCATCGAGACGGTCTACCGCGGCGCCAAAAAGGGCCGCGGTCTCGTCGTCAGTCCAAAGGGTAGGCTTCTCTTTTCAACTCTCTCTCTTCTTCCCCTGCCACTCTCGCTGACCGCAATCCTCTCGCGCAGATTACTCCACCAGACACCGATACTAGATACCTACCTACCTACCAACCCCCTTTACGCACCTCGCATCCGCACTCACATCCAGCGGCCGTCGGCTTCATCTTATGCTTTGGAAGAGATATATCATCAGACTCGGGAAACGCTCTAGGGTTGGTCTCACACAATCAAGAAACTTTTTTCGTCACATTGAACCAGAAGATGCTAATGCTGTGATTCCAAAGAACCTTTTTCTTCTTACGTGTGAATTTCTTATTTTATTTTTGTTTACATTATTAGGTGAGGTACGTTGGCCCCCCTTCTTCTCCTCCTCCTTCTTCTATGCCCGTCTCTCTACCCATCTTTCTTCGTGATACGATGATACGTAAGTTCGTTTATATGCGCCTCTCTACCAATCAGTGTGACGGGAAGTATCTGATACGCCGTGCTCTGTGAACCTGCACCATCTCCCCCATCGGGCCAAGTAGACTAGTGTTTTTTATACATGATGCAGATAAATAGACAACTATTTGACTCGAACGATAACGTGATGCGCCTTCTCAATCCCGCTTAGAGCATCTCCCCCTGCGGCGGCATCTTTGTCAAAAAGTTGGTCGGCACCTTGGGAACCTGCTGTGCCGCGACGGCCCGTTCGGCTCGGAAAAGCTCCTGCTGTCGGTCGTTCTCGCGTGACCTGCCACCCGTCAGACGGCGCATTCGAGACCGAGTGCTCTGCGCGAGCGGCTTAATCATGTTCTCCAGCGAAAAGGAACCCTCGCCGCCGTGGCCCGTGTTCGGTCGCTCGTCGTCCGCGTCGGAGAAGACGTCTTCGGGGAACTCGTCGTCTGATGTGAACTCGCTAATGTGCGGCTGATACGATGCCGGCGCCGACGGCGACGTGATGGACCGGTAGTGGAGACCGGGCCGCGAGGAGGAGCCTCCTGGCCCTCCTCCTAGTCCTCCTCCCAGGCCGCCGCTGCCCGATGCCGACGCGCTAAAAGCTCCAGGATTCATCGTGTTGGAGCTCGGATCCCTTGCCGTAGCTGGTGGCCTGTCAGTAAACCCATTCTGGAACGTGCTGTTGTTGGAAGCCTGATGCAGGATTGGCAGGATTTGCTCATCATACAACTGCGCTCCGGACTCGAAGCTGTCCGGTGAGAACTCGGTGATGGTCCTCGACGAGCGGCCGTCGCTGGGTGGACTCGAGCCGAGGTCGTCAAAGAAATCGTCGAGGCTGTCCAGCTTGGTCACGAGGTCGCCGAGGTGTCCGTCTCCGCGGCCTTCGTCCGACATCATCGTCTCGGTCCGGTCGGGCATCTGGAAGTAGCTGTACGGGAAGTCGTCGTTGTGGAACTCGACATCGGGCGTGGGCGTGGCTTCCGTCAGGATTCCTTCCGCGGCCTGGCACATGTAGAATGCGGCGTGGATGTTGGCGCGAGTGAGATCGGTCTTCCTAGCAGGAATTGGGATGGCCCACCCAGAAGCCTCTGGGATGCCAAACAAACTGACAGTCCTCTCGTATTCTTTGCGTATCGTCTTGGAGGTAGAGCGAGTCATGCTCATCCGCAGGTGCTGCTTGTCCATGGCGCTGCCCGACATTGTCATGATGTTGTCCAAGACCTCGAGTGCCTCCATGCAGAACTCGGTCTGCAACAGACGCAAAAGAGGAGAGATGAGATCGGAACCATGGCCAGCTAGTTCGGGCTTCCGCATGTCAATCTCGGGGATGACGATGCTCAAGACGTTCATGGTCTTCAGCTTCACCCACGCTGTAGAATTCGTCAGGAGACCCATGAGAAAAATAACCATCTTGAAGTCAAGGTTGGGGAGGAAGTGATCCTGTAGAGAGGCGAACAGGCGGCTTTGGAACTCTCTGTTGTTGCCCTGGTACTTGAAGCTGACGTATTCCTGAAGCACTTCAGCGACGTTGCCGTAACCGTGGGCCTCGCAAACAGTGCACAGGATCTCGGCGGATTGCAAAACTTTCTCACTAGGCTCATCCTCTTCCATCTCGTGCAAGAAACGGGGGAAGTTTGCCAGAATCGCGAAGAAAAGTCGACTATCGTCGCCAATGAGGCCGTCACTGGGCAGTTGAACCACCTTGTCCAGAGTGGTGAGCGTGGCCTCCATACAGATGGATGATCTCAACCCCTTGTAGAGCAAAGACTGGAGGCCCTCCCAGGCGCCGTCCCATCTCGAAGGCTGGCCGTCGAGCAACAACCTACGGACATTGGGCGACCTAAAGTCAACCTTTGTCAGAAACTCATTGAGCATCTCCACAGCCTCTAAGTACTCGCGCTCATTGATGGACTCTAAGCAAGCACATGTTGTCCAGAACAACTGAGGAAATGTAAGTAGCTTGTCTGCATCGAGCTTGAGAATGAGCGTCTTCAACGTGGTGAGAATCTCCATGGCAAACGTTTGGATCTCAGTGTCTTCGTCTGCAACAGTGTTCGATAAGCGGGCGAGCATATCGCCCAGCATGAACTGGTCGAGTGACGTAAGGATGCAGCGGAAAATCTGGAACGAGCGACACGCGAGATGCCTGACAGGGCATGAGGTTGCCCATGTCAGGGACAGCCTGCCCCATTGATCTTTGATGCCGGGATAGGTGAGTTCAAACGTCTTAACAACCTCGGCTGTCAAGAACTCCATGCTTGGAGGGACCTTGTTGTCGTGGTCGTCGGCCTTGCCGTTGCTGTCTTCGTAGCCCCAGACGACTGAACGATCATGGCGGCGGATCAGATCAATGAGGTCTTCAATCGACGCTCTAGCCGTAAGCTCCGTCTCGTCATCCAGTTGAGAAATGACAAGCTCATGGATGAGATGGACCAGCATTTCTCTAGCTTGCTCTTGGACGAGAGGAGTGTAGTGATCCCATAGCACAGTGACCACCTGAAGTAGCACCGGCACGTTCTCAGGTGTGAGGTGTACAGGGGAGACCATGAGGTCAACAAGTAAGATGAGAGAAAGCTGTCCGAGGGAGAAGCCAGCTTGCTTCGTACCCACGGGGAGCGCTTCTCCCAGGTCTGCACAGTAAGGAAGCAGGCCAATGTCGGGCGGCGGCGGCATGGCGTCCTTCTTTTCGTTCGGAACCATTGCCTTGGGAGTGATCTGCATCAGAAGGAACTCGACAACCTTCATGCCGGGGGTGCTCGTGGTGCTCGAGAGGAAGACCACAATCTGCTTGGCGTACTCGACAAAGTTTTGCTCCCGTCTCTCGAGGCAGAGAGAAATTATGAAGTCGAGGATTAGCCGCACGTTTCCGGGATACGGGCCGGTGGCAAGAGCTTGCCATAAAGCTTGAACCTCGTTGTGTAGAGCACCGCTCGACTTGATGGTGATCTCTAATAAGTTGGCCAGCAGTACGTACGACTGGGCAATAGGACCACCATTGGGATCGACCCTCAGCTCAATCGACTGAATCCAGGGTAATATGACGGCAACAACATTCCGCTGCGAGGCAGGCTGGAGGTCCTTGAAGTATAGGGTGAACTCGGAGAAGATATGGAACGCTAGCTCGGTATGCTGTTTGGCAAGTCGTTTCGAGATTTCAAACTGCGCAAGCTTGTAGACTGCCTTTGTCTTGTCGGAAATGCTTATGTCGTAGTCCTGAATCTTGGAAGTGCGTCCTGGCTGCTGTCTCTCTTCCAGAGACCTCATCAGACGGGCAGACTTTGATCTGATTTCACTTTCGTCGTTGCCGAGAGTGAAGAGGCAGAGCCCGAGCAATTTCCAGAATGGGCACGTATAATCAAGGTGCTCAAGCAAAACCTTAGTGACGACGGCGAAATAGCTCTCCTGGACCTTGGGAACATCGGACAAGTAGCATCGAGCTATGCAGTGCTCCAGGAGATAGGGCAATTCCTGGTTATGGATGATCAAGTTCTGCAAGGCTCGGCGGCCGATAACGTTCATCCGGTCGCTTCCCGAATTGAAGATGGCCTCGATCCAAGCTAGCATTCTTCGAATGTCGAACGAAAGCGTGGCGCCACTCTCGGTGGTGATGCTCATCGGTCCTCCACAGAGTGCAGCCATGGCACTGAGAGCTGCGGTACGAAGGTTGCGCTTCTCAATCTCCATGGCCGCTGTGACCGTGCCTCGTTCGCCGAGTGACTGTTGGTCGATCAGGGATTGTCGCATAGTATCTTCTCGGACTCGGATTTGCGTCTGATTTGGCGAGAAGCCGCACCAATCCTCCATCAAAGAAAACGCGGACTTTCGGGACTCAAACGTCATCCATCGAGAAGGATCCTTGGTTCTGTTGATTCCTTCGAAGAGTTCCTCCGTCAGGCCGCAGTAATGCCGCCTGAGTTTCTGAAACTCCCAGTCCATCTGAACTTCGCCGTCCATGAGGAAGAGCTTGAGGTCCTTGGTGTAGGTGACGAGATTAGTGAGAACCCACTGGTCGTTGTAGACGTCTTCGATTTTGAGGAAATGGCAGGTAAGCTTGTAAACATGAGTGATCTCAGTCCTCAAAAGATCCATCTTTCGGTTGCGTCTTGGACTGCTATTGGTACGCTGATGAATGCGGGCGCGAGCTTCGTCGTTGCAACGTGAAACTTGCCCTGCCAGCTCTTCGAGGAGTGTGCGGTAGATGTGGATGTTGATAGAGCCCATGGCAAGTACCACAGCGTCCCTGACCGATGCCGATGAGACTGACAGGAGGGGTATGAGATACTTGAAGAGGACTCTGGCTGAGACAATCTTGTCCGCAGAGCCAGGCTTGGACGTCTTTCGGCTATGCTGTGCGGCTTGAGGATTGGCAGCCACGACGCTTCCTGGGTCGGCCAGAGTAGTACAAGCGAATATCAAGTAGAGTTTCCATTGTTCCACGAGGATTTCCGGCTGCGTTGTCGGTGTCCTACCGGCGACGCGGGCGCTCCCGGGATCTGATCCGTAGTACAAGCCCCTGGATGGCTCCGACAAAAGCACGATAGCTTTGTACATCTGCAGAATTCGGTTGCAGATCAGGTCCCGGCCAATGGTGACTGTAAAGGGGCACTTTTCGTACGCGATACGGATGAGATTGGGGAAGAGCTTGAACCACAAAGTCGTGTCATACGAGACATCACTGGTACACAACTCCACTAGGGCACCTCGAATGTTACTGTTTTGCATGCCCCTCTGGAGCCTGCTCCTCTCAGCGACGGAGAGGCCTTCATCCTTAAAGTTCATTACTTG